ACGGGCCCCCCCGAACGGGGGGGCCCGTCCTCCCCCCGGCCCCCTCAGCCCCGAAGAGCCTCGCTGAGCTTTGGGTAGGAAGGGAGCTTAAAACTCATCCCGTTTCCACCCCCTGCCCATCCACTTTAGCTCCAACCTGGCCTCGGACGCTTCCAGGGGTGGGGCAGCCACAGCTTCTCTGGGCGACCCGTGCCAGGGCCTCCCCAACCCTCCCTTCCCAATATCCCAATATCTAAGCCTGCCCCTCTGAAAGCCTGAATCCCTCAGGTCCTGCTGGTGGCCCGAGCCAAAATTCTCTGCAGCAGCAGAGCCAGTGCTGGCAGACCATGAGCTGGGGCTGGTACTGGGGGCTTCAGCTCGTTAAATACTGGTGCCAGGTCTAAAACACGCTCCCTCCTCAGGGTAACCCCAAAATATCGGCCTGAGAAGCTGCGGCTCCCCCTCAGCGGGACCCAGTTACAATTAAAATTAAAGGGCAGGTCCTGCAGGTTCTGTGCTGCCACCCCAAAGCCGGGGGATCCAAACCCCCAAAGGGTTTTCTGCTCTGTGTGCTGTCCCTGGGGTGAGTTTGGAGGGCTGTGCCTGTGTGGGGCTGTTCCTGCTGCGCATTATTTGTGTGTTATCTGAGTGTTGAGCTCGTCCTGAGCTGTGTGGGGATGGCTGAACCAGAGCAGCTGGTGGTGGGAATGTTTAAGTGGACAGTGACGTGCCAGTGCTGTTCAGGAGGATTGTGTGTTCCGTGCAGCAGTGCCAGCCTTTGCAGAGCTCTTTAGGCTGCCAGCTGGAGCCTCTGGAAGCCTGAGCTGCATTATCTCTGCCCCTGCTCTTTACTTGATGGAGGTCTGTTTGTTGGATGTTTACACCCTCATTTTCCTTAAATAAGCCTGTTCCTGAAGCCACAGACCCAAATGAGTCTCACTGAAACACTGCTGGGAGTTTTCTGCACAGGAGAAAACCGTGCTGTGACTTGTCACTGTGACAGTCTCAGGAAAGCCTTCCAGGCCTAATCAGGTTTATAGTCCCCTGAAACATTCTTCAGGTTAAAACTCAAAACTCTTCAGTCTGTTTTGGTGACAGGGTCGAGGTCTGCACACGTGTAGGTGTGATCGAGGTGTGATCGAGGTGAACACATTCCTCTCCCAGAGCAGGTGCACGCTGAGCCTGCCTGGAGGCTGGCGGGTTGGAAGTGGTGTTTATGTGCCTCTGATCCACAGGGAAGTTGGCTTTGATGTCCCAGAGTGGTTTTTCCACCACGAGTGGCTGCGTGTGAAGCAGAACGTCGGGACCTGCTCAGGTGCAGTGCAGGAGTTTTCTCCCCAGTGTCTCTCGGGATTGAAACTGTAAAGAATTGAAAAAGATTGAAAGTGTAAAGAATCAGGGCCCCTGACAGTGCCATGCCCACACAGAGCAGCTCTGAGGCTGCAGTGCCAGTGTCCCAGGAGCCTTTTCCATGCCCAGAGCACTCAGGACGTCAGGGTGGCTCCAGCTGCTGGCTCGGGATGCCCTGGAGTGATTCAGTTTTCATCACACAGTCGGTGTGTTCCAGTCTGATGTTGTCCTTTGCACTGGTGACAGGAATGACTCCTATTCCTGTCTGCCTGTTTGGTCTAAACTTGCCAAAAGTATGGCAAGGAGAAACATGAAAGAGGAACTTGAAGATGCCTGGGTGCTTGAGATGTAAAATGACTGTTTAGGGTTCTGAAGTGTTGAGTTCCCATTTCTTTGGGCTGTTACATTCACATTGTGTCCTGCCCAGTTCCCTCCAGCTGCAGCTCCAGTGGGTGCCCGAGTGGCTGGCTCAGCAGTGGCTGGAGCAGGGCCTGGGGCTCTCCCTCTGCTCCCTGGGGGTCTGCAAGGTGAGAGGAACTGATCCATGAGGAGGAGGAGGAGCTGGATCGTGTTCCTGAGGTGTTTTTGTTGTTCTCAGCACGGGGTAATTCATGAGGGGCAGGTTTAGCTCTGGCTGCTCCGGGCCTGCCTGTGGGTTCCTGGCTGTCTTCCTTTAACAGGGACCATTTAAAATACACCAACAAAGGCTGGAACACAACAGGAGGAAGTGCTGGTTGCATTTACTGGGTTGTTTTCACCGCTCCTGATCACAGATATCCGTGATCTGAGCCCTCACCCCCAGCTCTGTCCATCCTGGTTATTGCAGAGCAGTTCTTGGTGTGTTTCCCGTTGGAATTTCTCTGCTGCAGTGCTGGTCCCAGAAATGTCTAAAAAGCCCAAGCTGTTACAAGTGGATAATTCATGCTCCATAACCTCTAGGCATGATTCATTCCACAGGAATTCCAGACTGGAGCTCCCCTTTAGTGCCTGGGCTGACAGCACACCTTTAAGCAAACTGTTAGGAATATTGAAAGTGCTCCAGTGATAGGATGGAATCTCTCAGGGGTTGGTCACGCAGTGCAGGAGCTGCTTTCACTTTCGGACTGGGCTGCTGGGCCGGGAGGGAGCGGGGCCGGGGGGATTTTTGGGCCATCCCTCTGATCCGGGGGGTCGGGGCTGTTCCGCTCGCAGGAAAACGTGACTGGAGCCTCTGGAGTTGGGAACCGTGTCCGTGTGCTGCAGGTGCTGCTCTGTGGGCCCAGCTCTCCTCTCCCAGCCCTCTCCAAACACTGGGCTGTGCCCGGGAGCCTCATCTCCGGTGTTTGCTCCCGGTGGAAGCTGCTGCTTTGGTGGAGCGTGTTTGGTGAGAGGACTGGGGGCACAACACTCGAGAAGTTTGCTGTAATGGTTCCCTCGTGTGTGGGCCTCCATGTTATCAGTGTTTGTTGCCAGGGCAGCAGGGTGGGAGGTGGAAGTGGAAGCACTTTGGAGCTCGCCGATTTTCATGGTTTTCCGTGACGTGGCTGCCTGGGGGATGGTGGGACAGGCACAGACCAAGGGCTGTTCCCACTTCTCTGTTCTCCTGCCATCCTCGGGCTCACACAGGTCTCTGACACCGGATTTAGTGAGTTTTAATTTAGATTTTTCTTGGAATTTGTGTGTGTAAGCCAGACACCAGCCCCTGGCACTGTGAGCTCCGAGTGAGAGCTGGGACAGCCACCCAGGAGCTTGGTGTCTCTGCTGTCACAGGAGCTCATTGTGCAGCACGAGGCTTTGGCCGGTGCAGGTTGGGTTTGGGGACATCCAGCACATGCTGGTGCCGTTCTCCTTGGACAAGGAATACCCTCAGCATCCTCCAGGATTGAGATGTGGCTGGAAGGGTGCTGGGAGTAGAGCTGCAAACTCTTGGTGCCTCTTGCTTCCCACTGTTCTCAATGCTTGCCAGTATTTTGGAGTTGTACTAGAGCCCCCCCATAAACCAAGGCCCAGGGCATTCCAGTGTTTTTGCTAAGCAGTTTTCCTTCCTTTTGCCAAAGGGGTATGATCTTTTGTACAGGAGTTTTCCTAAGGAACTGGTGCTGTTTTAGGGACAGGCTCTGCTCTGCAGAGTCCACGAGTGAGATCTGGTGGTGTGAGACGTGAGCTAATGTAGAGCAGGACTGGAGAGATTCTGATATTGATTTCACCCCTCCTAAGCTCCTTTGGATGTGTAAGTAAAGCTGTATATTTGTTATGGCTCTTACGGGAATCATTGCTGCTGATTTCCTATCAAAAGCTGTTACAAATAGGGAAAAAAAAAAAGAAAAGAAAAGCAGCAAAGCCCCTGAAGTCTGGTGTAAGGAAGAGTCACAGGGTTTTACAGGCACTGGAGGACATCAGTTCCTCTGGACCAGTTGGTGGCATTGACCCTGGGATCAGCAAACCTCAGCCCATGCTTGGGAGTGGCTGAGCAGGAGTTAAAGGGAGTATTTAAAAAAAGGAAAAGGGACACCTTCCCCTCCAAAAAACCCCCCAAACAATACCATTGGGAGCTCTACACAGCATTTGATAGGCAGGACCTGACCCTGGGGCTCTGCTCTTCCCCCAGAAGGTCCCCAGAGCGTGGGGGCTTTGCCTGCAATTCCCACCATGGGATCAGTGTCCAGGCCTGGGGGTCCTGGCTCGTCCCCACTGGCTCTGCAGGCCCCACATGAGCCCTGCCCACGGGGCACTGCTGGCACAGCTGCAGCACCACAGAAGGGAAGAAAGAGTCCCTTTAATTTAACTTTCCATTGCAAAGGCAGCAATCATTTTGTTCGCTGGAAGGTCACTTATTTTTGAAGGGCCTCTGACTCAGAAATGGCTTTTCAAAAATACTCCTTGAGCAAACAGCGTCTCCCAAGTGATCAAAGGTGGCTCTTTCAAATTACAGCTTCGGTCTGTGCTCTGGAGGTGTTGTGTGTGGCTGGATTCTCCATCAGAAGGTGTTGGCCACTTTGATTTCCTTGGCTTCTGGGGAGGGACAGGGTCAGGGAGGCAGAAAGAAGGAAAAGAAAGATCCAGTGGAAGTAAAGACATCACAGTTGCTTTTCTCTGCTCCTCCAGTTGTATAGGTTGCTTTCACCATCTCTTTTTTTTTTTAAATCCATTAAATCCAATGGGAAATTGGTTTCCTTTGGGATTGTGGAGAGTTTAGTGAAAAAAAAGTAATCATTGGGAGGTTTTGACTGAGAAGCTGCAGCAGAGGCAGCACGTTCCCGTGGGGTTAATCCTGCCAGGACAATGATCCTGGGTGGGCAGGTGTGAGCCTGAGATCCTGCAAGAGGGAAAGTGCCAGGAGCTGATGAGTTCTGGGATTTGTAAAGTAAATACTGTTAATCTAAAAAGTGTAACTGTGCTGTGGGGTTTGAGTGGGGTGGGAAGTGTTGGTGCACAGGAACATCTGCTGTGGGGTTTGGGAGACCTCAGCGTGCTCGCTCCTGGCTCGCTGTGGTGTCCCTGGGATGGGAGCATATTTTCAGGAAAACAGGCAGTTTGGGAGAATGGATTGCCTTGAGTTTGCACACGAGTGCAGAGTCTTTTTGTACATCAGACGAGAAAATTCCTCTGGCTGAGCTCAGGTGTGTGTGCAGCCATCCAGGAGTCGTGGGGACCTGCCGGGCTCCCGCAGCGTGAAAGGCAGGAGGGGTGTGTGTGTCTCAGTTCCTGTCTGGGTGAATTCCAGGTGTGGTGGTAGTGGAGAGCTCTGTTTCCCAGAAAAACCTCTCTTTTCTGAAGAGGCTGGTGGCTGTTTGCCCATCTCCCAGCTATGTTTGGGCTTACGAGTCTCTTTTTTTCCCCCTCCTCTTTCGTGAAACCTAAACGTGCCTTTCTTTCCCAGCCCAGGACATGGTGCAGGGTGAAGAGCACAGATAAGGACCCTCCCAGCACTCACTCCAGAGCCTGTCCTGCCCATCCCGAGGGCTCCATGCGGCAGGACACGGGCTGATGCCCTCAGCTCACCCTGCCATGGATGGGGGGAACAGCTTCCCGCAGCACCAGCAGCCAGGCGATGCCCTGTGCAGCATCCCCGGCCTCCGCCCCCAGCTCGCCCTGCCGGACATGGAGGTGAGGCCACAGCTCCTGGGGAGGGGAGGCTGTCCCTGGGAGGGCCTGGGCACATCCTGGGAGGCCTGGGGCGAGTTGGCAGCAGCGGTTTCCCAGACTTTCCAGGCAGCTGTCCAGGGCCGTGCAGGATCGATCGGAGGGGTTGAGGTGAGGCTGTCTGCTGGCCTTGAAGTGGGGAGGGAGAAGCAGGGCTGTGCTTAAAACAAGGACTCTCTGGAAGCTGCTGGGTGCCAGCTCCCTGGTGAAGGACTGAAGAGGGTACCCAGGATTGCAGACCTTGTTCCTCCCCCTGCTCGTCTCTCAGTGAACCTGTGCCTGGGTCCAGCCGTGCCTGTTTCCAGAGCAGCAGGGATAAATAAGTTGTGTTTGTCCCGATGCAGCTGCTAAAACCAGACCAGGTCCCTGATGCCTTTGTCCAACAGGGCAAAAAGCAAACCCCAGTCCCAAAATAGCTGATGTGTTCCTGCAGTTTTCTCTTTCTAACTCTGGAGTGTGTCACATGCAGGAACAGCAGAGGTTCCAGCGAGGCCCAAGTGCCTGTTGCTTCAAGCACAAGGTTTCAGTGCTTTGGGCACACAAAGGGCAGATGAAAGGCTGCTCTGGAGCTGAGTAAGGAGATACTGTGTTCTCTCCCTGATTTCATTGGTATGAGCTGAGCTAAAAGCTTCCCATTAATGTTGGAGACTGTTTGGGGAAATGGGAAGGCAAAAGGCACAGAAGGATGTTTTTGGGTGTGACCTATGTCAGCCAATTTCAGGTTACTGGGTTAGTGCTGGCTTCCCACAGAGACTGAATCATAGAATCGTGGAATCATTGAGGTTGGAAAGACCTCCAAGGTCATCAAGTCCAACCTGTGCCCGATGCCCACCTTGTTCCCCAGCCCAGAGCTCTCAGTGCCATGCCCAGTTGTTCCTTGGACACCTTCAGGGGTGGGGACTCCACCACCTCCCTGGGCAGCCCCTGCCAATGCCTGAGCACCCTTTCCATGCAGAAATCCCTCCTGATGTCCAACCTGAGCCTCTCCTGGCACAGCTTGAGGCCATTTCCTCTTTTCCCATTGGAGTGTCCTGAATGAGTGGAAGGGCTGAAGCAGGGGATTGACCCCAGTGACCTTCTGGGGACAGTGGTAGGGAAGTAGGTCCCAAAGCTGGAAATGGAGAGTAGCACTCGATGTCTCCTGCTCAAGAGATGAGGAGCCGCCTCTGCCTCTGGAAAGCACTGAGGGAGGGAAGCCACGAGCCTGCCTTTGGATCTGCAGCCACAGGTGAGGGTACCAGGCCACTGCTGCTCTGACTGTTGTGGTTTCTCCTTGCAGAATTCCATGCTGGCCGCCAACCCATGGAGTAGCTGCTACTCTGCCTCTTTCCCAACCTCGTCCTTCCCAAGTGAAAACCAGTGAGTGCTGTTCTCCTTTGTCTAATCCCCTCTGCTCTTGCACATCCCGTGATTCAACTGTTTCTTTACTGTTTTCCTTGTTTACTTTATTTCACGATCTGATGGGGAAATAATTGCATCACTCACTGATCTTGTGGCATTTTATACACTGTTGCAGCTTGGAAACAGCAGCAAACAGCTTTTTGTTTAAAAAACAAGAGAAAACCTTTGATTTCTGGTAAACCTGGAGGCTGCAGGAAAAGGGGAACAGCCTTGCTTTAGCTTGGATTTGTTACACTAATGGAATTTTAAGAACACCCCATGAGTATGATCTGGCAGAGGAAACACACTGGGCAGTCTCTACCTTCGTACAGGCATGGAGGAAGATGTTACCTGTGCCAGGTGGCAGATTTTGGGTGAAGTTAAAATTCTTTGCTATGTCACTGGAAGTGACTGACACCAACTACTGTGTCATGTCTGCACTGAAAAAACGTGCTCAGCCCAGAGTTCATCGGGGTTGTGATGAACAGTCTGCTCCGGTTCTGACTGATGTTCTTGGGTGACCTCACCCCCCCAGGTGTGAGGTGACCTGTGTGAGCTCCCCTGAGAAGCTGTGCCTGACTCTGAGCTGAGTGGGCAGCACAGCTCAGCGCTGGGCAGCGGGGTGGGTTCAGTACCTTGGGGCAGTAACAGTGGCTCTCATGGGAAGGATGTTTGCCACGGGCTTGCTGGATCCAGAGCAAAACTGTTTCTGAACTACCTACCCAAAGCAGCATTTTTTGAGGGATTTTTGCATAACAATAAACATTGTTTTCCTTTTCCCCCCTTCATGATGAGACTCCATCCTGGATCAGAAGGTGGAATATGACAGATGTTTGGACAACATAAACTGGCCTTGTGCCACCACTTAGTGACTTGGATGGGGACTCTGTTGGGGCTGGGAGATGCTGTTTGTGGGGCAGGAGGCTGATCCAGGGATGTTCTTTGGTCTCTGTGAATCCAGGGAGTGGCATGGATACACAGGATGTGTTCTTTATCTAGGTCAGAGGTGGGAGGAACGAAAAGTGAAAGAAGCAGAACTTGTATCATGAGCTAAGAACTGTGCTCCAGGTGCCTGGAATTAAAGCAGGGATTTAGTTTAAAGGGATTTTGGCATCTTCATGGAAAAGCAGAGATCCCTCCCTGTGAGGGTGTGAGTTCCAGGAGGGCTGTCAGTGAGGATCAGCCCCTCTTTGGGGGGGTGAGGTGTGTTGTGTCCCTGGGCTGGTTCTGGTGCTCCAGGTGTCCCCTGGCAGTGCTGGGGGGATGGACAGGGCACTTCCCGACAGGAGGATCCCAAGAAGCTGCCCCACAGGTGCTGAGGGAGCTGAGCTGTGCCAGCTCCTCCCCACAGGAGAGCAGGAGAGGAGTTCCCTTTGCTCTCGGCCAGCCGGGGCTGATGGGAAGGGGCTGTGCTTTTTGAGCAGGATTCCTGTAAATTGCACGTTGTGAATCCTCCGGAGAGCTGTAACAGAATTTCTGTTTTGCTGCATCGAACCACAAGATTAGATTGTGTTTGTCTATTGTGTTGGGTTTTTCTCCTTGACCATTTGTTCTGGTTTTGCCCCTCTCTCTCTCCCTGTTCGGTGCCGCTCGTGTCAGCGCTGCTGGGAACGTCACAGCCCGATCCTGCAAGGACATGCCTGTGCCTGACACAAACCCGGGCTTGCTTTGCTGCAGTTACTTCTGGAAATGTGGCTCATTGTAGTCATTGTTTGCTAGGGAGTGATTTAGCCAAGGCTGCACCTTTAGTGTCCTGTTCTTCATAGCCTGAGAACTGTAGAAATCACCTTTCAGGTGAGATTTTCCATATCTACCTTTCACATTAAAAAAGTCTGTGCTTTCTGTACTTGCAAACTGCACTGACTCTGTTTTAGGTGGATTTAGGGATAGGGGGTTACAGGTAGGAATCCTGAAAGGGATGGAATAATTGAAAAATGGGATTTTAAAGGCAGTTGTAATTGTAGCCCATGCTGTGACACAGAAAAATGCAGCTGCCATTAGAGGTGGTGCATGTTTCTCTTCAGAATCCTTGCAGAGAAATCCCATTTGCAAGCGGCCGTGTTTGGACAGGGCTTATTCTCATAGCAACACCTTTATCCTGAAGCAGGTTTTTCCTGTTTCTTTTCAAGAGTTTGCTTTCATGGTGGGGAATTTCTTTAGAAGACCCCAAACGTGGCCTCTCTGGTTCAGATTTTCTTAACCCTGACTAATGTCAACAGTGTATTAAACCTCCCTAAAAGAACCACTGAGGTTCAGGGCCCTGAAGAGCTGCAGCTCAGTTAATTTTAAGGAAGTTATCCCTGCAGAGCTGGGCTTCCCTTGCAGCTGGAGGCTCAACACATCCCTGGCCGGGGGGATCTGGGACAGCCCAGTTGTGCTGTTGGACAAGGTGTCACACAGGTGCAGAAAGGTGTTTCTCAAACCTGCAGCAAAGCTTTCTCCCCAGCTGCCAAAACACACGACCCCTTTTCCACCTCTGTGTGGAGTCTTGCTTGCTGGAATAGTAAAGCAGGCTCTGAAATTGGGTTGGTGTCTGATGGGGAAGGAGAGTGCTGGACTGGTGCTGAGTCAGCCTGTGGCCTCTCAGCTCTCCCTGGTCTCCCACTGGCCTGAGATGTGGAGTTTGTGTCTCTGAGTGGAGGACAGAGGATGGAACCCGACCCAAACACACACAGGAGGTCTCAGTGAAGTGGCAGCATGGGCCCAGAAGAGCTTTGGGTGCATTGGATCGTGGATGAGCAGCTGGAATGCAATGGAATTGCAATGGAGCATTGTGGGGCTGCTGTGATTAAACCAGCACAGATTTCCTGTCTGGAATGGTTTGTGGTTGTCCAGTGAACACCCTCGGCCTTTGAAGGAAGCAGCTTCCAAAGAGCAGTTTGCCAGGAAGTAAACCCTGGAGAGGCTGAGCAGGGGTGGACAGGGCAGTTTTCTGCAGGGCTGTGCTCACACCTTTGCTGTGCCAGGGTCACAGACCTGATTGTTCCAGCTCAAGCTCTTGTTTCCCAGTTCAATTCGAGCGACCTCGGCGGTGGCTCTGTGCCAGCCCTGAGAGTAACAGCTTTAATTCCTGACCCCAGGGGAGGTGAAGGCCAGGTCCAAAGGGATGAAAGGACTTGGTGGCTTTCCGAGGAGCTGCTGTGGGCTCTCACTGCAGGCTGTGGGAACAAAGTGCATCTCACATGGGCAGATTGGAAAACCAACGTTAAGGGAAGGAAAATACCAACCAGGGCTGGTCACTGCACAGCAGGGCAGGCCAGGGAGGTTGGGACACTCCTGGGCTCCTCTCTGTTACCTGGACTGACCCTTGTCCAGGCCATGAAGTGCCAGGGAAACAGGAGGGGGTGTTCACTTTTCCAGTAAAAATAGTTTTCCCATTCCCTGGTTAGTTCCTTGGCGCTGGCCAAGCTCTGTCCTCGTGCGAGAGACGGCGAGACCGCAGCGGCCTCGGCTTGAAAGCCATTTAAACCAGCCTTTTCCTGTGGGGAAATACATTCATTCCCAGAATTTATGCCCAGATTTTAATTTGCCTGGATGGATTAGGAGGAGCTGAGAGTCAGGGCTGGACTGTGGGGGCTGTGATGTGCAGGTGTGCTCACATGGGCTCTCTGCAGCAGGTAGAGCTGTGGCAGCACGGAAAAGAAGGAAAAAAGGAAAGGAGGAGTAGGGAGCTGTTGGTTTTTCAGGATATTACCTTTAATGATGGAAAACGAGCAGGAAAAATGTATTTAGCAGAGGAGATAACTGTGTTTGCACATAAATCCACATGTAAATGTTCAGCGGGTGAGTTAATGAGCTGCTGGCTACACATGGCACCTTAATTGCTTAATAGTCCTTTGGCAGCTCCTCATTCCCAGCTCCTGGGCAGGAGTTCTGTTTAAGCTCTGTTTCTCCCTCCCCCAGTGCCTCCTTCAAGTCTCTGGCCAGGGGTTCTGTGACTGGTGTGAGGGAGAACGTGCAGCTCCCACAAGAGGAAAGCAGCTGGTGGGGTGAGCGCTCTGTGATTGCCCAAGGAGGGCAGGAACTTATGGGAAGGATTACAAAGCACATTCCTTGCTCCTGCAGGAGAGGGAAGGGGCTTGTGTCTGTAAGAGCAAAACCAGGAGCAGAGGCCAGGAGGAAGGGAATTGGCTGCTCTGGTGCAGCTTTTGCCTGTGGCTGCCCAGGGGAAGCGGGTGCTGGGCACAGGGAGCAGGAGGAAGCTGGCATGGCCCTGCCCAGCAGGAGCAGGCAAGACCTTTGCTTTGTTCCCCTGTTAGTTCAGCAGAGATCTTTTCTTGGAACTCACATTGGTCACATCCCCAGTTCCTCTCTCAGGGTAACAGTCCTGTCTGGGGTTCCCTGTCCCCAGCCCTCCCATTCTGATCTGCCTTTGGGGTCTGTCCAGGTGTGCCAGGGGGTCTTTCCCTGTCAGAGCTGGTTTGTGGGGCTGGCTTTGGGGGGTTTATGGCCCAAACTGGCATTCAGGAGTGATGTTTCCCTGCACCTTGACGTGTGTCCCTGCATGGTGTGACTGGCAGGTGCCATCACACCCATCACACTCAGCACTGGGACATCCCAGGGGCTCCATTCTGCTTTGTTGTCAGGACTGAAATATTAATTAGTCCTGCAGACCATTTTTATCTGTTAAATCCTTCCTGTTTTACACAAATTACCAAGAATTATATTTTTAGTACAGCTTTCTTACTTTCTTACTGCTGAGTTTGGGAAGTGTGATAAAACTGGGAGACATATTATTTTGCCTAGAACTCTTTTCTGGATAATATTCGTAATAATATCCACCTCCTGTATGTGACATCCCAGAGCTGCAGCTTCACCACTGCTGAGGGCTGAAGTGATCTGTGAAGTGCTGGGGACTGACAGGGAGTAACTGCTTCTCCCATTTCCTTACAGGCAATATTTTAACCTCCCTCAGGATTTTTATATGGATTCCATCAGCAGACCACATTTCTTGGATACAAACTATGCAACTGTGGACCCCGCTGACTTCTTACCAAAAAATGGGGATTTTCCTCAGGTAAGTGCAGAGTTCATGATGCCTCTGGGGGAGAAGGGGCCTCTGGAGTGCTGGGGGTTATTTTTCAGTGTTACCTTACTGAGGGGAAAGGAAGTGATGGGCAATAAATTTGTCCAGCCCCAGACAGGAGTTGTGTGCAGTTGGGATCAGTCCTGTGACACTGTGAGTTTGGAAGCTGTCCACGCCTTGGTAGGGGCTTCTCTGTGGTGAAACTGCTTCTGTCTTTTAAAGTGATGTTTGCCATAAGCACTGCCAGTGCTGGGGGGTCCTGGCTGCAGGAGGGTCCTGCAGGGTGAGTTGAACACATCTGAGACTCTTCAGTCATTTCCCTCCCAAAACACTGTTTGCTCCTGTGTGCTGCACGTGCTTCCTCACTGGTTACACTGGTGGATTCCTGAATAGTGAATATTTTGGGATTACATCAGCTCAGTGCCCAGCATTCCAAGAGTGGAGCCAGGTCAGTGTTTGCAGAGCTGAAGTGTGGGAGGATGAGCACTGACCCCGGGTCACTCGGCACCTCTGGGGACCCAGCGGCTCCCTCACCTCGGGGAGCTCTCTGGGTGGGAAGGAGCTCTTTGCATGGAGGTTTTGGAACACTGTGCTGGCTTTTGGCAACATGTTATGGTCAGCTTAGTCAGTAAATACTGGAAGTAGTTGATATGACAGAGCTGATCTGCAATAAGTAAGGGACTGACTCTATTCTTTCTAGGAATTAATATGGACATTGGTGTCTGCCTGGGTATGCGTTGATTCCCCTTCAGGGTGCTTTTGGTTTCTCAGTGTGGCTAAAGAGAGGCTTCAACCCTCTTTGGGGCTCTGATTTCTGCAGGTTTGGATGTGCAGGTGCTGAGGATTTGTGCCTTTTGAGGTGGCCACTGCTGTGGTCCCCCCTCTCCAGCTCCTCGTGCCTTACATCAGGGACCCGCCTGGCACAGCAGGCCTGGGCAGCCACCAGGAGCTGCTGATCAGGGTCTTCTGACTGGATTAAACCAGATAAATAATTGAATCATGATAGCATTGATCTCTGCAGAATTAATTGTGGGAGGAACGAGGCAGAAAGGTGATCTCATCAACTTGAGAGACCATTTACTGGCCTGCAGTGGGAAGGGGAGAGAGGTCCCCACCATAGGTCTCACCTCCAGGTCTGGTGGAGTTTGGCTGATGGGTTTAACGGGAAAAGGGCTTAATTATTTCTTTAAGTTATGTATTTTCTAGTATCTCAGTGGTCAGTCAGCTTCCTTCCCTGCTGCATCACACAAATTGATCTCAGCCAGCCTGGGGAAGCAGATTTTTGGAGATTCTTTGTGGAAAGGAGGTGCTTTGTGTTGGCTGGGTGGGAAAAGAGCAGGAGGCTCTGAGACAAACCAGGTGTGAAGGACCTCAAACGATTCCCAGAAATAATTCTTGTGCCACTCATCCTTTGGGAGAGGAAGCCATGGATGGGAGTGAGGTGGTTTTAGGCAGTTGGCTTTTGCTTAGACTCTTTCTGCAGGGGGACTGCACCTATGGCAGCGTGCCTGCAGGTGTTCTACCCCAAGTCTGGACACAGCAAAGTGTCCTTCTCTGAATCTCACGCAGCCAGACCAGCTCCTTCCCTGGGGTATTGTGCCATGGTGCCATGTGCTCTCCCACCAGGAACAGAGCTGCTGATTTGCTCGTGGGAGCCAGAATTGGAACCTGGCTCTGGTGGGGCAGCAGGCTGTGAACTGGAGGCAGTGCCACCAGTCTGGAGGCATCCGGGAGCATCCTGGAGTTTTTCCATCCCTTGCTTCCTACAGTGTTTTCCACTTCACTGATTTCTCAGTGTCCCAGATGCCAAAACTGTTAAATATTAACATTCCACCTGGAAAGCTGCAGCATGCCATCCCGGGGGTGCAGGAGCAGCTGGGTGGTTCCATCCTTCCAGGTGGCTGTACAGGAAAGTACCTGACTTTTCCAGGCTTGCCTCTGCCACGGTAGGAGTGGCAGTGCCATGGAATGCTGTGCTGGTCTGGCTGTCCCAGACAGAGCAGTGGAGCCAAAGGGGGAACAGGAGAGCTCTGCTGGAGGTGCTGCTGCAGGTTCCTACTCCAGTCTGTGGTCACTAGGCAGACAAGGGGATCAGGGGCTTGTGTGAGGACTTGTGCTGCCTCCACACACAGATACCAGAGTCTGGAATTTTGAAGAATACTGAAAAGGGATTTAATAGGTCTAAAGAGCAAGTGATTGATGACTCTGAGGCATTTGTGTAGCAAACCTTTTCTGTTGGTGGCTGTGCTGGGAGGGTTTGGAGAGTGGGAAGGCTGGCACCTTTTCCCTCCAGCATTTGCTCCCCCCATCTATCCATGTTTTGTTTTGGGGGTCCTCAGCTGCACCTGCAGAGTGCAAATCCTTTGCTGACCCGGGGATGTGAGAGTGGGAGTTGCCACGTTTTCTAATGGCTCTGGGAATTTCTCTTCAGTTGGATCATTCACCTCAGTGAACGGGGAAGGTCCTTCTCTGCACGGCCAGAACAGCCTGATGTGAACTTGAACTTGTTTCCTCCCCAGTATTTTTGGGTTCTGGCTTGCTCCTGGGTGATTCATCCTTGCCGATCTATTGGCATTTTTTATATAAACAAGTGGCTTGAGCGGAGGTTCAGAAAATAGTTCTGGGAGGCCATGCTGGGGTCTGACAGCATTTCTGGTCTTGGGAACTGTTGTCTTCAGCCAGAGTCTCATCCCAACCATGTGGTGCCATCTCCTCATGGAAAAGTCTACTGACTGCCCACGTGTCCTTAGAAATCACAGTCCTGAGAGAAGCAGGATTCGGTTTCCGTTGCTTCCCTCCCTTCCTGCTGATTATTCCTCCAGCCACAGGTGCTGCTGGCTTGGGATCCAGCGCTCGGGGGCAGTAACTCTGCAAAGGCACTTCTCCCATGTCAGTGCTTACCCTGTCAGAGCTGTTAACTGCCACAGGAAAGCACTGAACCCCCGAGGCCTTAACTTATTCTCTGGCCTGTGCTGCCCCTCCCAGGGGCATGAGCTGTGTCTGTCCCCAGAGCCTTGTGAAGGCAGAGCACGCTGCTCTAGGAGAGCATTCCTGCCTTGTAATACCTGCTGTTCTTGGCCACCATGGATTTTTCTTTCACTTCACTGTTCTGGGCAGTTTAGGATCACTGAAAGCACAGACTCTGCCCAGTTCCTCTGAGCCCCCTGTTATCTCTGATGGCCCTGCCTGTTGCTGATAGTCTGTGTTCCCTTTGCTTAATTTCGTGTGACTTGTGGCTCCAGGACTTTGCTGAACACACAGAAACCTGCTCTGCTGACTTCATCTGCCCTGAGGAACACTGAGAAATAAACCTGGGAGGGTGAGTGGGAGAGGGAGCAGCTCCAGGGGAGGAGGAGACGCTGGGGGCACGGTGGGTGTGTGAGGGGCTCTGCAGAGCCTCCTGTGGCAGGAACTCAGGGCTACTTAAAACATGAATTGTTGGGCTGGAGGAAGGAGGTCAGGCCAGATGGATTTTTTTCCTGTAGGGCAGGAGGAATTGGCTGCTCCTGGGCAGAGTCACCTGCAGTAATGGTGTAAAGGTGCAGTTACAGCCCTGTTTGTGCTGGATGGGGGCTCCTGACCCTGCATGTTAATCATAAACCAGCCCTCTCCTCACCACCAGCCCCTTGCAATCTCCTGTTAATCTTCCTTGTTAAAACAGGAGGAGAAATTACCCCGCTCTTAAAAAAAGTATTAATTTTTAGAAGTGCTTCGGTACACAGAGCTGTGGTGATTTAGGAGAAATCAATATAACAGTTATTAAATTATATGGAAGACTTGGTTGTGGCTGAAACGAAGAGTTTCCTGGAATAAGAAACATCCTGGAACTTCTGTCGCTGTCCTGGAGTTATGTCTGCAGGGAACACAGACATTAAAATGCATTTGCAGGCAGTTGGCCTTGGAAGAACAAGTGGCCTTACATGCTCATGTCTTTGTCTTTGCACTGCGGGGTTGGGGTTTGGGCTGAGGTAGTAACGCTTCATAAACCCTCTGTGTGAGATGCCTGACACTTCCTGCAGGCCTGGGATAAGGAAGGTGAGGGCTGTGGTTGTAGCTGCTCACAGTGCACTGACTGAGTGCTTGGGGTGCTCTGATTTAGGCACCCTGAGCTGATCCCCAGGAGGAGGAGATCAGCTGATGTTATTCCAAAGCAGTGTCTCCTTTTGGTTGGATGAACTGTGCCTTGAGAGTAAACCTTTCCCCTCTGTGTACAGGAGGAGCTCTTGGGGCCATCTCAGGTGGAGATACCTGTGGTTAAGGGAGAGGAATTTGGCTTTTGAGGTGTAATCTGTTGTCAGTTGTGGTTGGCTGTGGGTTGCAGGAACCAGCCGGGCCCTGGGGAGGGGGTAAAAGAGCCTGGAGGGCTCAGACATCCCCCCATTCCAGTCCTGATAGTTTTCATCTGTGTTGCAAGCAGTGATGTCCACTGTGGGCACGAGGGGATGGAGATCTGCCTTCTGAGGTTCTTGGCAGGGGCTGTGCCTGCCTCCTCCCTTCCCAAAGCCAACAAAAGCGGGAAAAGCCGTTCTGAAACACTCAGTGCTCTTAAAAACGATGGCAATAGAATCCAATAGCAGACCATGGGGACATGGCTTAAAATAGATGCCTTAATTCAAAGCAGGGTTGGTCTGAGTCAGGGGGTGCTGAGGGTTCCCCAGCACAGGAACTCCCTGGGCTGTGCACTGGGGTTGGCTGGGAGGGGGGAAGTCAGATGCGAGTGCTGGAATAATCCTGCTGTCCTGTCCCTGTCTGGGAGCACACGTGTCCCTGGCTGAGCTGTGGGGAGCAGGGTTCTGGGGGCTCCCCTGGGAGTGTGGCAGTGATGGGTGGTCGCCTGCAGGATCGATGAGCAGCCCTGGTTACCTGTGTCCTGTGCCTGCTTCCTCTGCCACTGCAGGGCTGTTGGCTGCCCCATTTGTTCACTAACAGAAAAGGAAGAGGAAATAACCCACCTGCCTTTCCAAAAGTTGCACGAATAGCAGGAGGTGGTG